AATTTAATTCTCCATCGAACAGCATTGGTTTCATTCCTTAATATTAATTAGGAGGAAAGAGACGATTTTTTAATTAGCGGGCGAATTATTGGAGAGTCACTCTGCGCCGAGAAAACATTGGGTTTCTTATAGCGCCGTGACTTTCGTCGCAATATTAATTTTTTTATTGCAGAGATTAAGGGATGAAACGTGGGTTGATGGATGGCGAATTTAATTCTCCATTGAACAGTCTTTGTTTCATCCCTTAATATTACTTAGTCGGCGAATATATCAAATGAAAAACATAAAGTAAATATTAAGTACAAGGAGGACAAAAATCACCCTCCAAACCTATCCCTGTCACAGCGGGACTGCTACTGCCGAGTTACACACGCACCCGACTTACATTTACCGACAATTCGACCGGGACGCCGCCTTTTCCGTGGGGTACCAACTAACATTTTTGGAGTCAGTCAAACCCCCCCGATCCGGGCCTCTACTCAGGTCTATCCTCTTTGAGTTCCCATAAGCCTGAGCAATCTCCCCTATTATCTCTGGAGAAGGCATGAAATTATGGCAATTTTCTGTTTAATTTTTAGCAAAAGAACCGAGGAGTTCAAGATTCTTTTCACAGCTTATTCTACAGATATCTTATAAATATAGAATTTACTTGTTCCTCACAGAGCCTGTAAAACGTCGTTTTATTTTGTATCCGTCGAACGCCGTTTGCAGACATTGTGAAGAAATAGTATATTTCGATATGAGTGCAGAAAAGTGTTTTTTGGCTCGTGGAAGGTTTATTGCACGAGCCGAAGGCAAGTGAGTGAGGTTTCCTATATAATTTATGAAATTACATATGAAATTACGTATGAAATTACGCAAACGACTTTTCGTTTACTCGTAAACAAAACGTAAACGAAAAGGCACGGATCAGCGCTCGACCGTCTGTGTGACGTCGTTAGCGATTTCAAAGCGTTTGAAATCTTCAACTTTTAAGAATTAATGATCAATTGATGAGCAATATTTCAAACGTTTGTGAATTGAAAAATGAACTATTAAGGTCCCAAACTTGAGATTTCCAGAAATTTGAAATGAAGAAATAGCTAGAAGCCGGACAGCTCAGCTGCTGGGAGAGCACCCGATGCATAATCGGAAAGTCCCGAGTTCAAATCCCGATCTGGATTATCCATTTTTTTCAGTACAAATTTTCTGGTTATTCATATTATTGAGAATAATCCTGGTTCCGCTCCTACCTTATCCAAATGCCATCCATTATTTCCTATGACGTCATAAAGATGTGGAACGCTATATGCATTCCATTCTTTAATATACTATTCTCACAATTTTCATATTCAACAATAAAAAAACACTGATGGACAAGCCCAATAATCAGGTTTGCAAGCTCTCTCGATAAAACAGGTTTTTGCCGAACAAATACGAATTGCCCCATCTATCGAGCTTGTACGGCTTCTATTAATGTCCCCCCACTTCGCCCCACCCATCCTAGTCGGAAAAACAACCAAATAAAAAAACGTTAGACAACCCGGGAACATCGAATCATGTCGGAGTGGGCGAATGAGTGGGAGAAAGTTACTGGCAAATGTGGTGGACGTAAGGAAATTATCACGGGCCCCAGTAGTTCTCATTTTCTCATCGTATGACATAAAAATTTACGAGAGTAATGAGTGATAAACGACCAACAGGAAATACGCAATCCGTCAGAACGTAAATAATAACTATTTATTGAAGCTAAGAGGATTAATAAGGTGCAGTGAAATATAGGAACTTGATTGATTCGATTTTTGTCATGATTGTTAACAATCGAGTGTTTCAGCGAATAGTGTGACGACGTTGAATGTACTCACAGCTGACTAATGTGAATCCCAGTGCTTGTGACCCTTCGGATCCGCACTCGCGAGTACGTGTGCACTTGAATCGCCCTGTTTGCAGTGAAACGTGGGATTTTTTTGTTTTTCAAAGGATTCTCGGGTTTTTGGGCGTTAATTGTGGCGATAAAACGGTTAGTGCTGCTGGTTTCTTTTATCATTGAGTTGTTTGTTATCTTTTGGAGGTTTTTTCAGGGGTGAGGGAAACTTATCAGCAGATATGAGAGCTCATCAACGAGTTTCTGTTGTTTGTGATAGAAGGTATTTAATTGTATGGTTATAAGGTGTTATCAGCAGTTTTAGCTTTTTTGAGAAGTTGGGGAAAATAGGTTTTGGGGTTTTTAGAGTGTTGGGAACAGATGGGTTGCACTTGCATAAGCTGTAATGACCTCAAATGAGAATGATTACAGTGAGAGTATCATGACTTCGTGACATCCGTTTTCAGAAAATGAGATCAAATGAGAATTTGTGGGATTATTATGGGAATTCCTTTAACAGCGGTTGATGAGAGCTTTTTTGTAGGGTAAACGATTCTCTAAAAGTAAGATCTCTTAACATTTTTTCCTACAACTGTTCGGTTTCTGATGGATAATTAGGGTTTTACAGACAAAGGATTTTATTGTTTATAAGTAAGGTATTCCATGTTAAATCGGCCAACCCCTGACACTCATCCTCTTGAAAGTGAATGAGAATTTTTTACAGAGTTCAGAGGCTCAGAAAACTCCTCAGAAATTTCCTCATATTGTTCATAATTTTTATATATCTCGTTTGGGAGATGTTTTTTTTACAAAGATAGAAAATTTCGGAATAAAAATAATCAAAATAAAATACATTTAGGATTTTGCCAACCTTCTAGTAGGATTCAAAACACTTGTTACAATGGTGAGGATCGATGGACAGAGAAATGGCGAAAATAAAACGTTACGTCATTATCAAAATTTAAAATTTTTAGCTTTTCTTTTTGAAAATTCGTCTTTGCGGACATCTGAAAATTTAAAAAAAACAAGCAGCGCGACAGAAGGCATTTGACAGATTACATATGACTGCTACTCTCCACGTATTTTTTTTCTCCTATTTTTATTTCTACCGATTTCATTTGTAGTAGGCCTCCAAATGGATCCCAATGTATGTTTTCAAAAAATGAATGACCCTGAAGTTTGCTGAAATAAAGATTTGACGACGGATATCTTGTAAGGACACTGTGCGATTGGAATTTTTCAATTTTTGTTTTGTTAAAAAAGATTAAGTCTAATTGTGATGATGGCTAAATAGACAAATATGTTGATAAGAAGGTGATTTCTATGGGAATTAACATTCAAAAACTTTCAACATGGGATATTCCGTATCGGAATTGATATATTTGAAAAAAAAACAAAGTCACAGTTTGAACTACACAAAACCTTATTGTGATTCTTTTCGATTTGATTTTATCTCAATCACTCTAAATTTTATGCGCTGTGAAACAAAACATCTTTGTCACAATGAACAATACATTTGAATAACGCAATTGAAAAAAAAAAAGAACATCTCATCTGGAAAATTGGAGAATCTTTATGTGACTATTTGAGTTTTCCATTTTTAATGCCCAGTTAATTATATATCCTATGTTTTTCCTCCAAAAAATATTTAACAGAGGATATATTGATGGCAGAGAACTGGATTTCAACAAAAAATTATTAGAATGTCAAATTTCAGCCAAAAATCAGTGTGAGGATTGTTCAAACACTTTCTCGTCCATTTATTTTGTCGAAAATTTAAAAAACATATCTTCAACGGCGGATATTTTGCACAAAAATGAAGATTTTCAGAAAAAGTAAAATTCTATATTTTGTATTTCATCGAATTCTCAAGTGAATTTCCTCATTTTGCTTCTCACCCTTTTTTAACTTCCCGACTCGGAGTAGGTATAGTATATTGCAAGTATTTATAACATCTCCTGATATATTACTCTCATGAGAATAATAGATCAGGAGATATTATAAATATAATTAAGCCGTGTGCCATTATTTTGTTGATATTTATATATTTACAAGAATTATATACAGGAACATATTATATACAATAATATTAAGACTTATTCGAACTCTAGATGTCATGATTAATGATAATTGTCTGAAGGAAGAAGTACTAACAGTTCAGCTTTTGCCCATCCCTGTCAGTAAATAATGTTAATAATTCACAGTGTCGTGTCACAAAATTTCGACATAAATAAACATTTTACCTTTTTTTTCTTTTTCTCTCTCTTCTTGTTCATTAAATTAAATTGCGATCAAATGAAAAGAATAAATTGCAAAATATCGAGAAATCGAAATCGAGCATCCGGTGTTACCTTACTGCTTGACCGGAACTTCGTTCGTGGGAATGCTCACGTGAGCAAAATCACCAGATTTGGAAATTAACAAATTTGTCATGAACAATTTTTCCTATTATCACAACAGTAACAAATGAATCCGATGCGAATGTACGATCTTCACTGAGTTCACGTCTCATTGAAAAAATACAGGCCGAGATCACAGGTGTATTCGAAATTTACGTTGCTCAGTTCTTCTTCGTCAACATTGAGGTGACGCAGACAAGAAAACTCTGCCCATCTCTCACATCTTCTACATTGGACCCAAGTTTCATTGCTTGTCATGTTTTCATCTCTCCCACAGAATAAACAGAGATCTCTCACATCCACCGAGTGAATCAAAATACCCTCCCTGATGTTTTTGCGGTGCTCATTCGGTTCAAATGAATGCATTTGAGAAACATTTCCGGCAAGAATCTCTTCGATGTAATAAAGTACGAAAATCCCACAATTGAAACCATCTTGCTGTCGTGGATGAGGTGGGATTTCCAGTGACCACTCAAGCTGTGAGCTGGGAAAGACCTGTGGAAAAGTATTTTATTAACATGTATGAAAAAATCTTATAGGAAATGCTATGAAGAATTCAACCATTTTCTATAGGATTTCCTATAGAATTTCCTATAAGATTCATAAATTTTATCTTGACCTTTATAACTCATTGGTCCGAGTTCCAATTTTGTGTAATAATTTTCGATGAAAAACCTTACAGTGAATTCTATAGAAACCTCTATAGAATACCCTATAGAATTTTTTCATACATGAATTTACGCTTTTCGATTTCACACAAATTTTCTTTAATGAAACAAAGCGCATTTACCTTTTTATATCCAGCGATAAAATTTTTCAATCGTCTCTCCTCCATTTTGCTCATTTTATTTCTCATTGGATCTATCAGATACACTGTACTCATTGCAATACATGCATACATCAAAACCCAATGATTACCGGCGATATTATGAGGGAGAATAATTCCAGATTTCTCATGCCATACATCGCAAAACTGAAGATAGAAATCTGAGCATAACGGCTTTCCATTCGTCCCCCTTCCTGTCACGAAATATTTACTCACCTCACACGAAACATACGCTACTCTATTATTTTTCCGAGAACACTTCATCAAAACTGCTGACCAATAATCAATGATGGAATTCATTATCAACTGTCCGTCGAAGATCGTGATGTAATCGCTGGAGAGTAAAGTGACATTGGATTGCTCATTGTGACTGGCCCTTATCGAAGCCACAAAAAACGAACGTGGTGGACTGGGATTGTTGGATTTCGGGGTTTTCCCCAAGACCAAAATTCACTCTCCCAAGTTCTTTTATGTTAAGAAAAAGTTTATTGCTTTATGTTGCTATGGGGTCTTCCCTGAGAGTGTAAAATGGGGGAAAAGTCCTCTCGAGACTTAATGAGGGGTTTTACCCAAATGTGGGTTTTTCCCACAAGTACACCTGGCGACCAGGCGGGTCAAAAGGAAAGTCCAAGCGTTTGCTTCAGGAGGTGGAAATTATATTGCCCTCCTAGATCTATATTAACCCTGGGCCTCACTAGCAACTATCTTTCAGTCTCTCGTAGATATTCATAGTGTCAACTACCTCCTGTGTAGAGTCTTAGAGATTTTTCAATTAAAGTGTTCACATAGATAAAAGGTGTTTGTTATTTTTTTAAACCCCATAATCCAAAAGGGATGATTGTAATATTCGGAATTTGAAATTGTCCGATTATTATTAAACGTCAAAACCCTCTGCACCTGTTCCTCTGCCATTTTTTTTAGTTTGTTTCCTTCCAGATAACCCTTGCTCTTCTTATTTTGGAATGGCCCACGTCTCCAAAATTCTTGTGAATCTTCGTTGTCCGGCTCGTTTATTCGTTTTGGATGACGTTTAACACAAACTTTAGGAGGTGGTAGTTTTAACTCTTCANGCAAAAAAGTTATTTGCTCTTGGCATCCTAAATAAATTTTAAATGGAGCAATGAACTGCCGGATATGGGGATGATTCCCTTTGGCATGGGATATACTCAAAATGATGTCAAGGATATCGTTGGTGTGACAATCATTTTCTGACATTTTTTCTGATCTAGCTTTCTGCAAAACTTCGATAGAGTGAGTGAATTGATAATTGTTATCTGTTGCCAGTTCAGAATTCATTTGATTCACTAATTCCTCGTGAATGGTGAGAGGTTTGGCGAATTTCAACTTATTTTGCAACTGCTGTCGCTCTTCACCCCGCAATTGGTAAACCAAGGGTTCATCGTGGTTATACTTGCCTGGGGTTGTGTACAAATTAATGAGAGTTTGGAATTTCTCCACCTTACCCATAACTTTGAAAAATTTTGGACATTTTGGTTGTCTACATGAGGCAAAGTCCGAGAATTTTCCATTGTTGCGCTGTTTATTTCCGTGGAATCGTATAGAGCATGTGATGTTGAAGGTATCCGGTAATTCTCTCCTGATGCAACGGTGAAATTTCTCCAAAAACAATTTTTTATTGCGAAGGATATCTTCGTTTTTCAGAACAAATGAACCGACATATTCATAAGGCTTACGGGTGAATTTACGTTCAATAATTGACCGTTCCGATTCTTTACTTACTTCTGATTCCTTATCACTCTCTCCAGACGTAGAAGCATTACTATTGATGTCCTGGGTACGTAGCTTTACACAGGATTTTCTACTCTTCTTTCTCTTAACCCTCATCCTTTCGTGAACTTTGGTCTTAAAATTACGCAAATTAGAGCGCCAAGCAAAAATTAAATTGGATCGAAATCGTGTTTGATCATGCT